CCCCCCCCCCCCCCCCATCCTCTCCGTCATTGGCTGAGAGAAACCAACCCTCCGATCTGTAAACCAATGACATGCATGCAATGATGATCGATATTGCAACTGTTGCTTACCTGCATTACAAGTAAGTTAAAAAATAAGTACCTCACACGTTTTCATTCTCAACAAAATGTCATTTAACAATTAAAAAAAAACCTTTGTTAAAAACGTCTGGCAATCGTACACCACTCTACCACAAACAAAAGCTTTGGTTTTTACACTGGCATTTTATTACAAATGGGAAAATCTCATAGAGGGGCAGGAGAAGCATGTAATTAAATAGCTGGTATACCAAATGCTGGGAAATATGTTGACGTCATGATGAAGTTTTACATCCAAAAACAAGAAAGGCATTGTATTGTTATGTACAATCAGTTTATGGAGGAGGCTTCAGTGTCCTCCTCTCCAGGCTGCTCCACCTCTCTTCTTCACCCCCCCTCCTCCTCCTCCTCCTCCTCTGCCTCCCCCTCCTCCTCTGCCCCCTCCTCCTCTCCCCCCACCTCCTCTCCCCCCACCTCCTCTCCCCCCACCTCCTCCTCCTCCTCCTCTCCCTCCACCATCTCCTCCTCTCACTTTCTTCCTCACACCGCTTGCTTGTTCTGTGTCATCCTGGTCTGCATCTCCTCCTCTGGGCCTTTTCCTTTTCTCACCTTGCTCCTTCATTTCCTGAGGAAGACAGTTTTTTTTCAATATACAATCCAGATATGACATCCATCTTTCAGTGGTTCCCAATCCTCCCCTGACGACTCACCAGCCTGGCAAACCTCTGGGCCTCGCTCACCCTCTCCACCAACATCATCACCTCATCCTCCTGGGTAGGGAAGGCAGGAAGCTTCTTCCCAATCAGGCTTTCGATCCGCTGGAAAAGCTCCACGTCATATCTGAGGGAACACAACGTGTCAGTTTGATGCAGTCGTTGTTTTTTTTTGCAACGCATTAGAAAAACAACAGCGGAGAACACGTTCTTACTGAGTGACAAAAGTGATGGATTTCCCAGCTCGCCCTGCTCTGGCTGTTCGTCCGACTCTATGGATGTAGTCCTATGAGGGCAGACAGATCCGATCAAAATCCACTCAAACTCATGAAACCATCAAACAAACTGGCAGCGCTGAACACCAGCGCCTACGCACCTTGGAGTGGGTGGGGATGTCGTAGTTGATGATGCAGTCGACATGAGGAATGTCCAGTCCTCTGGACGCCACGTCCGTCGCCAGCAGCACCGACCGAGACTTAGACTTGAACTTGTTCAGCGCTCCAAGACGTTTGTTCTGAGCAACAGATGGAGGAAGATCCAGAGAGTCAATTTGGCGTTTCCTTTAAAAGGCTCATTGCAGCATGTGAGAGTATAAATATGCACCATATAAATAATGTAGAAACGTTGCCTTATGGTTTGGCTGTACCAGCATGCACACACACACACTGTGCTCTCATGTCAGATTTGGTAAAGTTTGTAAAGTTGCATTACTGTACGGCACCAAACCAGAAGAGGGCGCTGTTCTACCAGCCTAAAGAGAGCCAAAGCTACTCGACATTCACACAATGGCTGTAAAAAGGATGAGTAAAGGGCCGGTGTTTGTCCTCGTCAGAAAAGATCTCTACTGTTAATCTCTACAGATAAACTACATTTACATTAACAACTGCTTCGAACATGACTCATCAGCTTATGGTAGACATGATGATCTGTTGATGTTTAGGTTACACAAAGACTTTTCATCCCTAAAAAAACAATTCTTGATTCATCGTCTATAGAATGTCAGCTTGAACAAAACAAACCGACATGTTTGATAAGCCATCAAAATAGTTTCATTTTCTATCGATTGACTAATCGATTCATCAATTAAACATTGTAAAAGATTTCTACTGTATGCCGCGGGCAGTGCAGAGGACAGCTCTCCACTAGTGTTGGCAACTAGTGAATGAACGATTGTGTTTGGAAGAAGAAAAGACCCGGCAACATTCTTCAAGCTTCAAACAGCGAGAAGCAGAGCATGCAAAAAAGGTACTTGTGCAACACCGTCCTGTTGTCAAACCATTGCATTACATCATCATCGATGACAAATGTTTGCATGGATTGGTCTGAGTTCTGAAAAAAGGCTATGTGTGTGTGTTTGAAGGTCTACCTGACTCATCTGGCCGTGAAGAGGGATGGCAGTGATGCCGAGGTTCCTTAACAACAGCGCCACCCGCTGGGCATTGTTACACGTGCTGCAGAAAATCATGAATGCGTTGCCGGCCAGCTCGTTCAGGATGGACACCAGGTAACAGTCCTGCCAGAGAACGAACACACGAACACACACACAGAAAACGGAGTCAGAAACGCCAACAACACACAATTATAACGGGAGTGTGACCTTCAGCGGATGCCCAGCATGTGGAATGGGGTGTCAGACATTAAAACATGAAAGCAGAATGTGCCGTACCTTGTACTTCGATGGTATGAAGACGTAATACTGCTGTAGTTTCTCTACGGTAGAGTACTTGGTGGACACCATACACTTCACAGGATCTTTCAGAGCTGCTCTCTGTAGCTTCTGGACCTGTAGCCAAATGAAAGAATGTCAGTGAAATAGAAAAGCGAAGTCGGCTCCACAAGTGGTGGACCACTCTGGTGTCTGCTCATTAGTTTTCAGCACGATAAACACTAGGGGTCACATGCTGCTCAGTATTGATCAGTGTTTATTTCTACCTTTTTGGTCATGGTGGCAGAGAACAAGTAGGTGCGCCGATCTCTGGGAATCACCTTTAAGATTTTATCCACCTGACAAAACAAAGAAAACAGACTTTAAGGAACTTTAAATACCGACTCGGGGTTGAATGGATGTTTGACAGACTTAATGTAATTCCCTCCAGGCGTTCCTGAGATATTGCATTCGCGAGAATGGGCGGACGGACAGGAAAACATACTGCATAATTACAATGCCTCATAGTGTCACACTGCAGGGGGAAACAGTAGCACAGACATCAATAACTCACCTCAGTCTCAAAGTCCATGTTGAGGATTCTGTCTGCTTCGTCCATGACCAGGAACTTCAGCGCTCGTAGGGAGAAGCCCTTTGTGTTCTCCATGTGGTCGATCAACCGACCAGGTGTGGCTGTAACATATTTGGTTCACTTCATCACATTGATGCTAAAACAAAAAAAATCGGTTTAAATTGTGATGCGATACAGCTTAAGACTGTTTGATTTTTGGTCTTACCAATAACTATGTGCGGTTTTTTAGCCAACACCAGTGACTGGGACATCATGTCGATTCCTCCGACTATGACAGCTGCAACAGAAAAGAAGCTTTAGGAACAGAACCACAGAAAGTGATCGGCCTCGTTGCAAAACCGGTCATTAACCGCGAATGGACACTCACCACACTTAACACCGATGCTGGAGCCCAGGGCCTCAAACTGCTCGGCGATCTGAAAGGCCAGCTCCCTGGTGGGGGTGAGGACGAGGGTGTGGAGCCTCTGGGGCGAACCCAGCAGGGACTGCAGGATGGGCAGAGCGAAGGCACCCGTCTTTCCGGAACCAGTCTCCGCCAGGCCGATGATGTCTTTCCCTGCAGGTACAGACAGATGTTATAGAAGTTATGTGTATTGAGCGGTGGAAGAAAACAACCTAAGCACAATTTAGTGCTATACTAGGTACTGTTGCTCTTATGCAACAGATCTGAATGCTTCTTCCACCACTGGTTTTGAGGGTAAGCACGTTTGAAACACACACACAGAGTGGCACTGGCAGCAGCCTCTCCTGATGGAGACCGTAGACAGAAAGAGGCTCTGGGATCACTCACCTTGCAGGGCTAGAGGTATAGCTTCTATCTGGATCTTTGTTGGCGTCTTCCATCCCAGCTGTTCACACGACTCACAGAGAACCTCGGTAACACCCTGGTGATCGGAGAAGATACAGAGTAGAGACTATTAAACGTTGCCGACAATGTTTTGCTACCAAATCACAGCGTCGTCAGATAACGGGTATTTAAAATACAAGTGCAGCTGCTACTAGCTTAGTTTAGCTAGCTCAATGCTGCTGCTCGCTTTTGTTGATAAAATGGCGTCTCTGTGAGGTGAACCTACCAAATCCTTGAAGGTCTTCACTGCCTCCTTGTTTTCGCCGCTGTCAAGAGGACCGTCAACATCCTCGCTCCTCGAAATTTGGAGTGTGTCGTCTGTGTTTGGCTTCACGCTTTCCACAGCGTCGTCCGCCATGCTTTTAGTCCCAACGTGTCGTCAGCCCCGGAATGCGCAGATGCGAAAAATCGAGCTGAAGCCGCACTGGATGATGGGATTTGTTGTTCTTACACGCACACACTTAAGGCGCCACAAAATCATACGGAATATTAGATTACTGACTGGTGGAATTTAGGGAAATCTTTCCCAGATCTACAGCATCCAGACAATAATTGCTAAAATATGTGTAATTATGTTATCCATATATTGTCTCCTGTATCACGTCACACTGAAGGATGAGGTAAAAAGTATTTATTTCGCTGCAGATCAAATTGTTTCAGACATGTATTTTGTCAGTGGTTGACAAACGTTCCACACCTTTATTTCGATGTCCAACATGTTTCGGAGATAAAATAACAATCATACAAAATGCTTTTTCTGGTCATGGCAAAACACAAACAGTTGGCCGGAAGAAAATGCCAGTTGTAAGAAAAAAAATGGAGGACAAAAAGCACAGGTAGTCTCCAGCTGACAATGTTTTCATAGCAGAGAATAGTGTTCTTTTTATGAGTCGGGCCTTTTAATAGCAACCAATTTAAAAAAAAAATTACAATTTCATGCATAATCAGATTTCTTACCAAACGAATTCACATAATCCTTGATACAACAAATTAAAAATCCAAATCAAATGAAGATGGAGACCAGTGCTGAGTGTAGCAGACTTTCCTTGGTTTACTGAAAATAAACTAATCTAGCCGACGGCCTTGAAGACAGCTACCTCTAGCACTCTGCACAGAAAACAAATACACCTTTGAACCCCACTGAACATCCGCCACAAATACCCTCCCGAGTCTCAGAGGAGTCCCTCCATCTCCCTCATAAAGGCTTCATACATCTGGTCTTTAGTCTTCATGTTGGACTGAGACACAGCACCCATCTGGACTTGCTGGACAAAGCCCATCGAAGCAGCCGTTGCCTGCTGTTTCTGCCCATGTCCACCTCCCATGCCGTCATCTCCCCTCCTTCCTCCGTGACCTCTTTTGTCGTGATGCCCAGCTCCTGCCCCGGGCATCCCTCCGCTCTTGTCCCTGCGCACCCTCAGCGCCGTGGGCACGAAGCGGGTGACCTCTGTCTTCGGATTGATAATCTGAGGTTTGGCGGAGATGGTGGCTCCGCCGGAGCCGGCACCCGCGGCCAGGTTGCCTCCGGCTGCTGCGACCGAGGTGATGTTGGGTCGCTTTTCGATGGTGGCCGCGTGGTGGTGCCCGGGGGGATTGCCGCCAGTCGGAGCGCCAGCTGTACCTGGGGGGGGGAGGCATCTGCATGCCGCCCGGTCGCATGGGCATAGGCATGGGCATGGAAGGGGGCGGCATGTTGCCCTGTGAACCATCCGGGTTGGATCCTGAGCCTTTTTGTCGCTGGACAATGTTGGGAGGAGCACTGAGCACGTTGGCGTTGAGAGGTGGAGGAAAGAGGGAGAGTGGTGGGGCAAGTGGACGCGGGGGCCCTCCTGCTCTTGGGGGAGGAGGCGGGATACCTGCAAAAAGACAAAGTGTATTTTAATGAGAAATGTTTGACATTCCTCTTCACCACTCCACATATTTTAAACATAAAGTATGCTTATATAATATATTTAATGATGTATAGAAGTATATTTTTACTGCCTCAGTTTGAGTTTCACTGCAGCTGAGCTGTGATGGCATATAAAATAACTAAATTATTTTCTTGTGTCACGTTTATTCAGCATGTGTCCATGCACACACAAGAACATATAGAGCATATACACACACTCAGTTTACATTTGGATTTAAAGTACTACACAAATGTGCATGCACCACACACACAGATGTGTGCCTTCATACACATGTGCCTACCTGGTGGTGCAGGGAGTGGGAGTCTGGGAGGGGGTCCTCGTGGCGGGGGGCCCGGTGGGAGGCCAGGAGGGGGGCCTGGTGGGGGGCCCGGGGGCCGACCTGGCGGAGGTCCAGGAGGCAGAAGACGAGGCATCGGACCCCTCAGGCCTCCAGGCATACCAGGAGGCCTCAGGAACGGAGGAGCACCTAAAGACAGAATATATCATCTAAAACAGGGTTTCCCAAACTTTTTTTCTCGGACCCACTTTTTAAAAATGACAAACCGCTGTGACCCAATTCACTACAGGCCTTATCTTGAAATCCTGAGAACAAACAGTTCTGACCATGTCGTGTCGCCTTTTTTTTGGTGTGACATGCATGGTACAGAAACAATAGTCAAAATGATCTGTCTGTGTGGAGACCACACGCGTACGAGCTGCAGCAGTTCACCGGCTGCAGCCGTGCTGCTCACGCAGGCTGTGAGGTTGAAGAGAAGCAAAGGCGCTAGCCTGTACGTAACCATAGACAGCATAAAAATGTGTACGTTTATCAAAATACATGTCTCAGCCAAATGTGACACCGGTGCCGTTGATGAAACAAATCCTAATCAGTTCATCCTTTAGTCCAAGTGGACTTTGTGCCAAATTTGTAAAAATCATTCCTGAGATATTGCATTCCCGAGAATGGGACGGAAAACCTAACCGAAAACCTAACCCGAGGTGGATGCATAACATTTTTTTTTTAATTTTGATTTATTCTGGTATCGAGTTCAGAGCTGGAGCATAATTTTCCGTTGCAACTAACCTGGTGGTGGACCTGGAGGCGGGCCAGAGGGTGGACCGGGAGGCCTCATGGGGGGAGCTGGGGGTGGACCCAGTGGTGGAGGCCCAGTCATTGGTGGACCTTGCAGGTGTGGAGGCCCTTGCTGTCCCACCGGTCCAGCAGGAGGGGGTAGACGCGGATTAGCCAGGAGGTGGGGCGGGTTTTCCCCAGGTGGTCCCCTGTCCTCGATGTCTGAGCCGCCCGATTCATCCGTGTATTCCTCCTCCACCTCTTCCTCCTCTTCGTCTTCAGGAACTGCCTGACCTGGAGACAAAAAATAAAAAAATACAGCAACATGTCATCAGAAATAGAAATTAAAGTATGCTAGCTTAGCAAGTATGGAGCAAAGACACTGGAATACTACAGTTACCTGCCATCCTCAACATCATAGCCTGCAGCGGGGTAATGGCCTTGGTCTTCTTCACCACCCTCTTCTTCTTCTTCTTCCCTTCACGGAGTGCCTCTGGAGGCATGTCAGCGAATCGTACACTGCGACCTAAAGTAATTAAACGTAGTTAAAAGTAAGTCATCAAAATATGAATAAGTTGAGAACTTAAAGCAAAAACACAATAAAGCAATTTCTAAACACTCACCAGCATGTCTTTCATTTCTGTCTCTGTCCTCCTCCCTCTCCCTCTCATCATCGGGCCGGTCCACACTCATCCTCAGGTCTCCGTCTCCTCCTTCCTCTCTCTCGTCTTCGCTGTCCTCCTCGGAGTCGCTTTCGTCGTCGTCCACGTCGTCCCGATCTCTGTCACTCTCACTGCCGCTGTCCCGATCTCTTCCCAACTCCATCGGAGAGTCCTTTTCTAAACCAGGAATGGAAGGTTCTGTTCAAGAAAAAAAAAGAAAAGTTAGGAATTGAATTCAATTAAAGGAAAATTAGCATTCAGAAATGTAGTCATTATGGGTTTGTGCGTTACCTGTGTCTGTGCCATAAGCTCGTCGAGCAGGAATGCCGTACAGTGCCAGAACCTGTGGGGGTGGGGGCCCGGGTGGGGGTCCAGGGGGCTTCTTCCCTGGAGGTAAGCGTGGCACACCTGGCACTGTTGCCAAAATCGGTCCAGAAGATGCCGACAGAGGTCCTTTACTGAGAGATGCATAAAACAGAATTGATGCATAAAAAAGAATTACCTCAGTGGCAGAGCAATACTCAGCAGTGTTACTTAAACTCATTGGTTTGTGGACTGCTGTTTTGAAGCCTTGAGTTTGGCGATTTAGCCGTCGCCATCTTGGATTACAGCCATCACCATGTTGGGTTTTTTGCAACCAATGAACGGTCTTTATGGTCTATTTGACTCTAAATGGACCATAATCTACAAAATGAACATCATGCTGTATTGAAGAAGACTTGAAACTAGAGAGTGAGACCATAAACTCATGTTTACAATGTTTACTGAGGTAATAAATCAAGAGAGAAGTAGAGTCATTTTCTCATAGACTTCTATACAACCAGACTTCTTTTTGCAACCAGGGGAGTCGCCCCCTGCTGGTCAAGAGAGATAATGCAAGTTTTAAGACTGTTCCGCGTTGGCTTCACTCGGCAGAAGTAGAGGTTTGTCGCCTGGTATGCACATGTTAATAATTACCCAAAAGAGACGTTTTTCTTCAGTATGGAGGGAGGCTGAGCTCCCGGTAGTGGGATGTCCTGGATGTGGATATTGGAGGGTGCATGAGGCATATCTGGTAAAGGGATACTGTCAACCTCCACTGACTCTGCATTCTGAAAAAGAGGACACAAAACACATGATAGTAAATAGAGTCACCACAAAGCCTAAGCAATGTAAAGAAACCAGAAGATGAAGCGTTGGGGCTCAACAAACTGTGTACAAATTCCCGCAAATGAAACAAAAGACACAAACGTGCTTCTCAATGAGTCAAGATTGATTAAAAACAAATTTTTCCAATCCAAACAAATATACATAAACACACCTTGACTGAATCAAAATAGAGAGCCAGCTGCCCTCGCTTGGTCTCATAGTCCAACTCTAGTTTGCGTAGCTCCTTGTAGGTTTCGGGATTCTCTCTCTCGTAGAGACGGACAATGCGCTCAAATGTCTCGCGTAGCTTCTTCCTCTTGTCCCGCAGCACTTTCTCATTCAGCAAGGGCTGCTGGACTGGGTTGAACTCTGTTGAAGGCGTTACAGAAAAGCTTCATATTTTAACAAAAGCAGCAGCTTTAGGTTGAAATAGTCCAAAAAGCCTTAAAAAAAAATATGAACATCTTATAAAAGTAACTAACTTTATATTTAGGGACAGTAAACCTATGTACAGACATACAAACGGCAGTTTGACAGAAACAGACACATTCAGCCCCCTCACCCATCTCATCCAGCTTCTCCATGTCTCTAATGATCTGTCTGGGGTCCTTCATCTTCAGCACAGCAGCTCTCACCATCATCCGCTGCTTCTTGTTCTATCACAGTTATTAACAAATGAAGCCACATGTTATTAACACAATAATAACACCAGAGAGAGTACATTGAAAAGTGAACATGTTTAAAGACCACTCGTACCTTTTTTAACTCCCTTTTCCTGGCCTCCTTTCCTGTAAGAGAGGTGGAGAACAAGGGTACACTAGTTATTGTTCTGGCACTTGAAAACAATGAGTTGATCATTCTTCAGGTGTTATCCAGCAGGCCGGTACGGAGGAACCAGCTGCTGGTTATGGTCGGTACTTACTGGCCTGGTCGGTGGGGTTCATGAACTTCCCACTCTTGGTGGAGGAGGTTGAACGTCTCCCCATCGTGCCGGTGCTTCTCTTTCACCCTGCACAGTTATGACATGTAAAAAATGAAATGAACCATCTGTATCCGCTGAGGGAATATACACATCTTCCCCTTGTATTTTGGATTTCACAATCAATTCAAAGATGTCTCTGCCAGATGTTTCACAGCATCTTTGAGAGGATGGTCCGTTCCGTTCAATTTCGTTTACTACTACTAACTAATGACATGCTTGTTACCTCTGCATACATTACATTTAAAAGTATTATCAGTAAAACTGTAGGTAAATGTAAATATAACATTAGGAAAAATAAACATTGTAACGTTGCGCTATGTTGAATAATGTTAATAGTGATGGTTAGCGAACGTTAGTTAAACAACGTAACTATAAATAACTAACGTAGAAGCGAAGACAATCTAACGTCTCTCTCTCTGTGAGTTAGATACAACGTATTCAAACCCAGCGGGTGTTTTAAGTGGCTATCGAACATTATAAAGCCGGTTAAACTACATATATAACAGTTATATCTTCTCATGGCGGCCCATGCAGCATTTTGCTGGCAAATGCTAACGTTAGGCTAACTGTTGACGTTAGCTCGCACTTGTAGCTAGGTCCGCGTTAGCAACGACAGCAGCGAAGGAGGAGCGAAATTTGAATTTTACCTTTTATTCCAGAAAAGTTCGTAGAGCGTTAACGCCCCACACGCGCACCTTTGCGTACCAAAAAGTAAAGTAAAACGTATTGTGTAACGTTACGCTGTGAAAGAGAAATCCAAAGCTTTCAGGAATGAATGCATGCACGGACTGCTTTAGCCAGTCGCCATGTTTACTGCCGCGAGCACGAGCGGAAGAGGCTAATTTGACGTCATCAAAAAGGTCGCCGTGGTTTTCTTTTTCTTCAGATGAATATACATGTTATATGATTATACTAAACATTGTAATACCATGTATCTATACATGAAACAACAAAATAGAAAACATAACATTCATATTAAAAATATAGAACTGCACGAGAGAGATGTAAACATAAAAAAATAATACACCTTTTAGTGTGTGTCCGATCACTTGAGAAGTCTTCAAATATATATTTTTTATTAGTTGCTATCTTAGAAACAGAGTCAAAGAGTTTAACACAAAATAGTTAATAGTTCATTTTATTTGGGGGAAAATTCCACGTTTACAAGAAGAAGAGATGGGCGGACTCCAATCAAAAACTATATTAATATGACACCATGATTAAAAAAACAACCTTACAAATAAGATGCCAATGCATACTAATTATGTGTTTGATAGATCTATTATGGACCAATAATACAGTATTTTAAATTACTTTTTTACTTGGTAAAGACATTTCTGTAATTTATCTGATTCTAAACTATAGACCAACATTATTTTTTAAATCACCTGGTAACCACTGCCCTAAAGCAGGTGATAGCTGCATTTATTTCGCTGGAAAACTTTTAAATGTAGAAACGCATAACGATGTCCGCAGCAGTATTCCACACCCGGTGTACTGGGTTGTGCAGGATCCACATTTGTCATAATTTTCGATTTTAGTTTTTACTGAACTCAATGTTACCTCTTCGTTTTTTTGAGAGGTCAAAAGAGACTTTTTTAATGATGGATACATTAAAAGCAGCAAGAATAGCAACCTCTGAAAGTTATTGTCTATTTTACTCTAAATGGTCCCATCATTTATGAAATGAACATCTACACTGAAACTCTGCTGGGAAAACGAGAGAGAAGAAACAAAAAGTTTGGGCTGAACAATTGAACAGAAAGCAACAAAAACAAACTAGAAATACCTCAAAATAAACTTTAGTCCAACAGTGCCACTCTCAGTCATACAGATGCTTCAAAGAACAACATTAGTATTTCATTCCTTGTTCCAGATTACAGCATTGGAATTCTCAATCGAATCAGTGATTAATTATTGGTGTATACTGGGGAGATGCTGGATATTTTGCTGACATAACAATGGATTGAAGATGTGACCTTTGACCCAGCAGACCAGATGTTTTAAAAGAGACAGCAAAAAAAAAAACAGAATTCAAATGATGGAACATATATACAGGAACTGTAATACAATAGGAAAACACAATAGATCTGAGAACTGAGAAACTTTATAACATGTTGTGCTTTACTGTACAAAGTAGGATGCTGAGAGAATGGATACTGCATCTTAATTAAATCAATTTGAGATATGATTTACGTTATCTTTTACAAAGTTCTGGAGATAAGTGTTATCTATTTTTGTTTCATTATTTTAGGAGAAAAACTTGATTGAGAGAGAGTATAACTTTGCTTACTTTCTTGTTCTCATTATCTTTTATTTTATTTATACACACTCCACACCAGCTGTTGGCGGTAGTGCACCATAACGTTGTTTGCTAACCTTCATGAACATGAAGAAGAAGACTTCTAGTTGCAACCAGAGGACCTGTTCCCTCCTGGCCAGTAGAGAGAATGCGGGTTTGATCCACTTCCGCTTTGGCTTCACTTTTCAGACCCGACCAAATGCTTCGTCCGCCTCTCACAGACAGCCTGCTGTTGTTATCTTATATTCCTATTTTATACAGCCTGTGGGTGCTATGCGCGTTTCCGTGTAGGAACTTTAACCCTTTCACGGTGCGTTTTCGGTTCATTAAAGTTAATTGTAACATTGTGGTGTGTTGTCTAAGATGTCTTGTTCAGCCTACGGTTGTTCCAGAAGACATTCTAAGGGGTCGGACGTTAATTTTTTCCGGTAAGTAGCGTTACGTTGTGTTTTAATCCCGTTGTTCACAAGCTAAAATTAGCATCCCGATTTATTTTAATTTGTAACGCGAAATACAGATGCATCTTTCTAACCTAGCTAGCCCGCTAGCTTTAGCGTTTGTTAGTTTTTTTTTGACGTTTGTGAATGAACACTTCTTCTGCTGATAACATCTGCGGCAGAGGACACGCAGCAAAGGCCCGTTGCTGCCCTCTGCAGGTCAGTGGTAGAACAACAGTAGAATCTGAGCACATCTCTGCTGGTGTAACTTCTTCCACTCGCCCAAACATTCCTAAAAGCTCTGTAGTGTAGACTGACACATGATTGGATATGCACTTTCTATCTGGTATGATATATTAGAATGTCTGAATTCAAAAGTTAACTTTTTCTTTCCTTCTTCAAACAGATTTCCTTTAGGTGATAATGCAAGGCTGAAGCAATGGTTGCTGAATGTGAGGAGGAGGAACTGGATCCCATCTAAAAGTTCACGTCTGTGCAGTACGCACTTCAAGGATGACCAGTTCTTCATAGACAAGGAGGTAGACGGATACATTTTAGTGCACTAATTAATTACACAGTGAATTCTCTAAATGTACCGATAATTAGTTGAAATACCAGACCTAACGTAGAGGTGACTTACCAATAAAAACATATCTGAATGTGTGGATATCATCTTTAATGTTTGAGTATGAGGAAAACCACCCTTACAATCTGAATTTGAAGGTCCAGTGTGTAGGATTTAGGGGGGCGTCTATTGGCAGAAACAGAATATAATATTCAGAATTGGGTTTTTTATTTAGTGTATAATGACTTTAAACTAAGAATTATGTGATATAGTATACAAGTAAAGACAATATATTTTCCTTATTTGTTTTAGGACATGATCATAGAGGCTTTTGAGAACTGCCAGTTGAATATCTAAGGGACCAGACTAGCATTTATTAGCAAAATTTGAATTTTCATAACCATGTTTTCATTGATGTAAAGTCACCTGAAACTAGGAATTGTTGTGTTTTTGTAGCTTACAATGAGCCCTTCATATCTTCGCAGGGAGCGGGTCTCTTCACATAGCGCACCATGTTGCACCGCCATGTCTCTACAGTGGCCCAGAAAGGACAAACCAAACTCTAGAGAGACCCTTTTGTGTTTTTACGTTACCTAAAGTCCACCGTAGTCCTCTGGCACGCTTAGAAAGGGCGTTTCCTTTGGTTGCAATCTGCATCCTCACCACTAGATGTCACTAAATCCTACATACTGCTCCTTTTAAATCACAAAATACACCTTTTAATTGTAAAAAAAAAAAAAGGAGAAAAAACCCTATGTAGCACAACTTACCTGCTGATGTCTTCTGCATTTATCTTTAGGGCAAGAGGAGGCTGAAGGACACTGCTGTGCCCACCATTTTCATCTTTCAAAACCGTTGGTTGATAGAGGATGTAACGAACACGACCAGCCTGCTACGATTGACTACCAACATTGACAATGGACCGTATCACAGCATTGCCAATGCGGAGCAAGCGCCTATTGAGGAGGAGGATGATGTCGTGGACTGCGATGTTGTTGACAGCGTCTTTGACGAAATCCTCGATGATGACATTGTTCGGGTTATTGTCGGTGGCGATGTCGATGAGGTCGTTTCCGATGACAATACCGAGTGTGAGACGAGCATAACTTCACAATCCGCTTTGCACGATCATAGTTACCGGAGTCTGAAACAAGAGCAGATCTACGTGGGCACTGATCACAACTACATAGTTTCTGGTTCTCCCAGGACACTGAAACGCAAAGTGGACGCGGTACAAGATCAGCTTGTCTTGGCTCACAAAAAGCTGAAGTTGAAGTGTCAGGAGACGAGGCGAATGAAGTCAAGACTCTTGTCCATGAAAAATCTGACCAAGGATCTAAAGAAAAAGTTAAATGCAGTTGAGAAAACTCTTGCCGCGGTTCATAAGTAATGGAGGTAAGGCGCAAACAAGTCCAGGAGATCAAAGCTTTAAGGAAGAAGCTGATCTGAAGTCTGTTTATGTTAAAAGTCTCTTGTAGAGATGCACCAATTGCAAATTTCTTGGCTGATTCCGATTGTCTGTTTTAAAAAAAACGTTAATTGACTGCAAGGCTCCGGACTAAACCTACTTTAATTTTGGTAATGATCAAACATTGCTGGCAGCAGCAGGTGGAGTTAAGTGAAGCTTCAATGATGCACACCACCCCCACTCATAAGCAACAGACTGTTTAATGAGCCAAGACTTCAGGAGGAAACTGTTGTTGTTGCCGGTCCAGGACGGCAGGACGAGCAGCCGGACATAAACGTCTTGTCTCCTCGTTTAATGTTTCCAAAACATTCAAATTAAAAACACTTGATTATTTTGCTGTTACGATATCCCGTCAATACTAAATAGACTCCAAAATGTAGCTGTTACAGTGAAACATCTATACTGAGTGGACCACAAAATAGACTAGGAATTACAAAGACTATTTTAAATAGCAAATATCTAAGCTAAAAACAAATTTCTCACATCTCAACTTGGAAATCTAAAATCCGCTGTTAGTGGTCTGCACATTTAGGAGATTGATGATCTCCTATCAGTTCAACATCAACATCATCTTCGGACGGTCAGTTTGTTTGAATTCCTTGTACGACGACCTGAGAGCCTTGAAGGCAGGGATCAGGGACGGAGGAAGGTTGAAACTAATCTCACCAGGTTTTTCAAAGTAATGGTCAAATATTATAGGTGGAGTTAAATGGGAGTTTCCGTGTTTCCAGTCCCATCCGCTCCCTCTCGTAAACAGCAGACCGTTTATTGAGCAAAACGCAGTTTGAGGAGTTTCACTGAGCTTCTAACAGGGTTCTTCTGAGTCCGTTAGACCAGGTTCTTTGAGGGATCTGGTTGTCTTGTCCCTCGCTGCAAAAGCCAAATGTGACACTAGGTGGCAGGAACGCCATTCTTTTACAGTCCAGCAGACACTCGGCAATAACAGCTCTTAAGCGCTCGTGTTACCCCCAACTTCAAATAATGTACTCATATATATCGCTTTCTAATCACTTTCCAACAATATACCTTTCAAAATAAAACATTAAGGCGGACTGTTCTCTGTACTGTGCTGATTCTGACCCATATGTTTGCAGCATGTATAAAGACCTTTATTTTAATGATTAAACACCTCAGTCATCACATTGTAACAAGTACGGGAAATGCATCTCTAATTTGGCCTTTAATGTCACGCTTGTCTGATTAAATATTTAAAAGGCTCCAGGGTTTAATGGTAATCATCTTGACTTGCAATGCTCTGAACTCTGTCAAACATCAAGCAGATCTTCAGAAGCTCATTCTCCGCATAATTCAAACCAATTCTGTGACGTCAGCGGGATTATTACGAGCAGTTCTCACTTCGTGCATCATGTAAACAGCCAGACCACACACAGTATAGAGGAATTATTGAGCACAGCACGTAAATTATGACCAAATAAAAGCAACTGAATGCAACGATTTTATCATCACTGTTCAGAAAGACAGCTCAACCATATATATTTAGACTGTTTTAACTTGTGTGCAACACCAGCATGTGAACAGCTGTTATTTATTACTGAGTGTAAAAAGAGGTCTGGGTGAAAAGTGACTTTTGGAATAATAAGGATATTGTCAGATATTATGAAACCGTCTCAATTCCAACAATGTTCTTACTGCTAGTCTACTAAAATGTTTGGGACTCAGCAGATCTTAACCCTGTAAGAACTATCAACACCACTCACATAATTATAAAGCTCTGATGGTGTATTCATTTAAAATAGGAGCTGGAAGAGAGACGAGAGCACACGACTCACAGTAAACGTGTCATGTTCATTTGTACAAAAATATAAATGTTTGATTGTTTAACAAATCTTAAGAAATAAAGCAGTCAAAGGGACAAAGTTGGAAGTTCGAGGAGTGGACATTTCTGGGAGAAGCTTTCACGTCGTCTGTAAAGATTTGGGACAAAGACTTGAGTGTCAGCAGATTGTTGTTCTGTGAGACTTGTTTAGTGAGACTAATGCCGTGTCCGATAAATGCACTCTGCCGTCTCATCTGGTCTGGTCTACGGTAAACGGGCCACATTTCCGTGTGTGGAGAAGTCAAACAGGTTTGACGCTACATTCTAAGAAATGAGTCAACCAACTTTGGCATCGAGTTGTTTTTAAAAACCTATAATTACCTTCACAATAAAATGTCAGTTTGTTGAGCACTCTTTGGACTCCTGTTAAACGTAGCTTATGCCTCAACACACTAAACACACATAAAAGCAGTCTTTGAAAAAGGATTTTATAACATTTTATATTAAAGGTAACAAAAGTTAAATTGGTGCATCTGACTCAATAATCTAATAATCACAAGAGACACGAATCCTTCACAAGTGTTTTAAATGCTTTTATTGTTTTTAGATCATTTCGAAGCAAAATTAAAAAGTAGCAAAGTATAAACTGATAAAATGAAGTTTCATAACTGCATACACTGCTCTTCTCAACATCAAATAATGTTTGAGAAGATAATGGTGTTTTTCCATGGATCGGGAACTGTGTTTAAAAACTCAGGTACGACAACATTAAATAGTTAAAAATACAATACATGGTTCTCTCTCAATGTTTTTAACGTTCCTCTATTGCATTTGTTTACCTTTGTGCCATCTCGGCCCATTCAAAAGGCCAATACTCTTTGACTTCATTGTTTAAGATGACGCTCGATGATGGTAAACGTGTCTGAGAGACCGTCTCGATGTGCTCATGTTTCACTGGGGCCTCTGATTCATTGGTATCGGGTAAACGTAGGTGCCCGTCTGTCCACAGGTGCCCTGATGGGACACCAGCCAGCTGCTGTAAGCGTGGCCCTCCATCGTCTCCACTCCCTCTTCTTCGTCACTGGATGCCGCCTCATTGTCTTCCTCCGAGCTATTCTTCCCAGTGCCGTTCCCTCCCGGGCTGGACATCTCGTACTCCTTCGTCCTCGTGTCGCACAGGCTGCAGACCCTCAACCGCTTGGTGGGGTGAATGTGGCCGATCACCGCTCGCTGCGTAGAGCACGCGTTGCACACCAAAAAGCCACATTTTCGGCAGTGGTGGCGGCGATTGGTCATGGTGAAATTGTCAAAGCAGCGCATGCACTTGAAGGCAGCCTGGTCTGGGATCCACGCCACAGCAAAGGTGGAGCCAGCTTGGCTGCCGCCGCCCTGCAGCAGGTTCGAGCGGCACTCCTCGATGTGCTCCATCCAGGCCCACTTCTCCTCGTACGACGGGGCGGACACGAAGAACGACTTGCGCGGCGTGCGCATCAGCCATTGGTTCTTCAATCCCTCAGTGTCCTCCATGTCCTTGAGCATGATGTCCTCTGAAATGACAGTCAAGATGGCATATTGAGAACATTGCAAAAAAAAACATATGATACGATGGTCTGGTCGACACGCCAGAAAGCAATTTTCTACCTGCGAACTTCCCATTTCTGCACAACAAGACTGTAAATTAGAGTTGAATGCAGTCAACGTTCAACGTTACAGATCTTTTTATTCTACAGGCTTCGCTGCATCAATGCAATGAAGGTGAACAGAATTCTATTTTGAGGTGTTCGAAGCATTAAAACATGACTTTGAACAAACTCAAAAGTATCTGGCATCTCCAGAAATGCTGTCTTGTTTTTTTCTTTTTTGTGCATGTTTGTTTTTAGGTTTATCTATAGAACTATTGGCTCAATTGAAAGTAGTTTAGGTGGTATGTGGACAGGCAATCATGGGTGCAAAGCAATACATACATGGTCACTCTAGCTTGTGTGGAGCTATGAATACAGATACTGGTTTGATCACTATCTTTCTCTTCAGTCTGACTGGATGAAGTGTTCAGCCACAGGAGAAGTTGCTCACCTAGAGGGATGACCTTCTGGTTTTTGTGCCAGCGGCGGTGCAGGATGATGCTGCCGTACACCAGCACGTCGCTGAAGAGGAAGAAAACCTTGGGCTGGGGCTTCCGGCGACCCTGCTTCACCAGGCGGCCCTGTCCCATCAGATACCGACCCGGCTTGGACAGGGGCTGCCCCGCAGGACCAAATGAATTCTCCACCACCTGGATGCGATGGCGGTTCTCGTCGTTGGACGTAAACAGGTCCATCGCGGCGACCGAATAACCTGCGTTGGCACCGGGATCATGCATATATAAGGTGTTGGGCTGGGTGGAATCGGGCTCACTTCCTAGTGACGCCACGGGACTTACCGAGGTTAGATTCAAGACAAACCCGTTAGACAAGAAATATGGGAGATTATGTGGTGTGTTGTACATTTAGAATTCTATTTTTTTTTTTGATGAATAAGTTTTCAAAGTTTCAAAGTTACTCTGGAAATTAGGAAAAATTAGAAAAATACATTTCAGAGGAAAATAGTGTTTCTTTTGTTTTTACCACTTTAATGTTATTTAACAGACAAAGTTCAGAGTTCAATTTTTTGATAAATAATTTGCATGGAAATGATCAGTTTATACAGTAAAATACATTGCTATAGGTTAAACACCAAACAACACCGTTCAAATTAGCTACATATTACTTTTACGCAAGTGCCATTTTGAATGCAGCACGTGTGCTCTTCATGAAAACATGCTGCCTCTTTCCTTCCTGCATCAAATATGAAATCATATTATATTGACAAGACTAGAGACTCTGCGGCCATGATGGCAGCTCTGTGAGGCTGTGCGCTCCTTAAGCACAGCAGTGCATTGAGCGAAATGCAAAAAGTATAAGTAGGAAAACACAACAACAAAACACAGCAATATTACAGCCTCGAGCACACTCTGAATAAACATAATTAAGTATTTCATGCTCATGTTCACCGTGTTATACAACGTAGGCCTACAGCTGACGCCGATGGGAATGTCATTCGTTTTGCAGGTATTTGGTCATAAATCAAAGTATTACAATTAAAATGTAATAGATGTGAAGCCAGAGGATCAAAATCAAAGTTAAAAAAAAAAAGAAAAAAGTTCTTATCTTTAAAGAAATAGAATAAAAAACATGAATCTTTTGAGCAGTTGTGAAATTTTGAGGTACAACTTGGATGAAATTGGCGGAACAAAGCAGCAATCTACAATAAAAATGTGTCACAATAGACTGAATTTATTAAACTCATATTCATATATGAATATATATTCATATATATATATAT